CTTACACAACCGTGACCGGAGTAATTACTATGAGATTTGTGTTACGTTTAGTGCATTCAGTTTTATTGCAACCGTTCCATTGGCCTAGTGCATGGAAGTAGGTGAATTACCCCCGACATGAGCATAAAGCTGTAAGCGTTTAATAGCCTACATGAGTCGTAATGGAAATTAAAATCCAAATTGAATGCTTACAAAATGAGATTCATATGAAAAATCAGCATAAGCCGTAATCGACTTTAATGTTTTCATGTCTTTCACATTTTATTCTAATTCAAATGTTTTTGTTTTACTTACTTAAAATGCAAATGATTATTTTTACGAATACTGGCTAAGATAAAATTTAATGACAATGAATAATAAGGTTGAATATACTTTAATCAGGTAACATTCAAATGTTACTGGAAATTCGATACTCTACGGTTCAATTTTAACATCCGGTTGTTTGAGATAAATGCCTTGATAATGCATACAAATCTCGGTGGTCTTTGTTTAGTTAACACCTCGGTAAGGAACATGTCGACACTTGATAAATGTTTTTATTGCCCGCCACCGCGAGAAACAATCCGAAAGACCAGAGAAAATTACTAGGCGTGCATAACGAAGTTGCAAACAATAGTTAATAGTGGGCATTACCCGCTGTGTCGAATCTGACGGTAGTCGATTCCAGAAGTTGTAAAATCGCGCCAGAAAAAGGATCGAGTCACAAAGAAACGTCCAAGTCGAAGTATGTCGACCATTCGTAACGCGCCATAAATTAAAGTGATAAATGGTGCATCAACAATGGCTAAATAAACAAGGGTTCCTTATGACGCGCGAAAATAAAACTTTGTTAGGAGATCGCGGTAAAAAGTTGAAATATCCATTCGCGTCTACACAATGGGTCCGATATATTAAGGGGAGTTTAATACACCCGTGGGCACCTCGATTGTTGTAAAAAATCTGGAGTGGTCGTATTATTTGATTTTACGGTCGCATTTGTTATAAAAGATTACTTGATACAAAGTCTATTTGAAAGAGAATCTTTTGAGAAATACATTTATAGGTAACATTAGTTGGCTGTCATAATATTTTAATAGATTACACAATTTCATTTTACCATCAATGTATTTTAAGTGAAAAATTCATAAAGAAAATCTATACTTCTATAGTTCTATACTGTATACTATACTAATATAATAAAGATTGCCTAAGATGTCAGCAATCACAGCATATTTTCGAATAACTCTTATTTTTAAAATTCAAAGCCCTACACTTACGTCACGCTTTGGGCTATATATTTTCACGCCATTAAACTTAGGGGTATATCACCAGCTCACTATATGTCCCCACCGAGGGGCTCGGAGCCTACCCTAAATTAGGGTGATTAGGCCATAGTCAACCACGCTGGCCAAGTGCGGGTTGGTCGACTTCACACATATCTTTGAATTTCTTCGCCGATATGTGGTATATATTTTGGATAAAAACCCTAATGTGGGAAAGAGACCATAAGTTGTTGCCAACATCAAGGATGCAAGGTTGCCATGGTTTGACATCATGTCATGTTATTTTGACATTTGCAATTGACAATTTGACAAATGTGAACAATAAAATGAAATATTTAAAATTCTATGCGTTTGAAGTCACATGGGAACAGCTAGTATTTATATAATTACATATTAACTTGTTTGTGTTTAATGTTGACGTTCTGTGTCCTATCTGTTGAGATATTAAATGCACGGAAAGAAAAGTTTGATGTATATCTGCGCTGTAAAATAATTACGCCCTGCACCGGAAGATCTGTAACGCAACCAGCTGAAAGTAATTTCGATGAAGATCACAAAGTGGCGTTCTCGTAAAACACCGTGATGTATAAATAAGTGTTTACTTTGTCGGTAAGTTCGTTGCGGCCGCTTTGAAGTGGCTTTCGTTTCTGTTCTCAACCCTTCCACCCGCATCTATAAAGATAGTTTGAAGTGTTACAATTAACTGGCTTCGGGAACCGCAACAGTAAATACTGAACACTAAATCTCTTAGCATTTTTAAAATAAAAGACTATAAATATGTTACTAACAGTATTAATAGGCAAAAGTCAATAAAATAATCGATTAATTCTTGTTTCTCTTCAAATCTGCTTAAGAGCAGAGTCACAACTTTGACTAAACTATCGCACAAAAGTTGTACCATTATCGATTGTCGATTGTTTCGCAGACAATTCAACTGTTTAGTTGCACATCGGGATACGGCCAGCCCAGATACCGCTGGCGAGACGCCGTAGAGCT